ATATATGTTCAATTGCGAGACTATGAAACTCACTGTAGTTAGTAGACAAAGTTCTTTTACTTGTAGAATAATAAAAAAGTTGGTAAAAGACTAGATATATTTCCTGGGCCCAGTATTATATAAAAAAGTGTGTCAGCATAATAATTTTGGTTAACGAAAATTAATAATGATAGTGTCTCAATAATGTAATCTATAAAAGTTCGGTACTACGACCCCTAGGGTCCCTAGGCCGATCACAATATATATATATATATATATATATATATGCATATACATATATATGTATATATATATATATATATATATATATATATATGTGCCTACTGTGCGTATCTTCAAGATGGTAGCTTTTCTTCTAACTCCAGTCCTCACAATGGGCCCCTAATTCCTCAAAATGGAAGGTTCAGTCCTGATTGTGCAACCCCACATTAAAATTTAAAACTTAAACCGCAAACTGGTTCAGATCGGCGATGGTGCGGACGAGGAAGTGGACGACGAGGGCAACTTCGTACCGCGTGTAGGCGCGTCGCAGGCTCCCAGCATCTTCACCAGACTACTAGACATCTCTGAAAGCGGGAATGAAGGGGAGGATGACGATGTCTCCACCGAAGTCAGTTCGGTACTGTGGAACCCAGTGGACAGCAAGCAGATTGCCACGCTAGCAGAACACTCACTGTGTGTATGGGATTTGAATGCCGGGAAGCGCACGACGAACTACACGCCATTTGGAGCCGAGGAGGTCCGCAGCAGCAAGCAGAAACCGCTCACAGCCGGGAAGTGGGTGGGGTCACACGGGCATAGCAGTGGCATGGAGGTGGCTGTGGTAGCGGGGCGCAGTATCATGGGATTCGATTTACGGTCCAGCCAGACAACGTTTCATATACCGCACGCGCACGATATGAGGGCCAGGGATGTAGATTTCAACCCGAATCTGCCGAACTATTTCATCAGCGGGGGCGATGATGGTGCCTTAAAGTTCTGGGATAGCCGGAATACAACCCAGGCTGTGCGTACGATGCGATGTCATTCACATTGGGTATGTACTTAGTGTTATTTCAAGTGTACCTACATGTGTTAGGGATGGCTGTGCTAAATGTAGTTTATCATGTCACTCCCATAGGGTATGTATTTCGGTATATTTTGAGTGTAGCTACCTGTATCAGGTGTGACTGTTTCGCATAAAGTATGTCATGGCTGATTGCGTGATGGTTACTTAGTGCCCATGGACACTCCATAGCAAGAATTGCTCGATTACAATCTAGTGTTTCCTTGTAGATGCCTTGCTTGTTTGTCTGTTGGACAATTCTTCATCTGAGAGTGTCTTTAACTTTGCGTCGATGGGATGTTTGCAACCGCAGCGATCCTATCCACAAAGGTTTGCACGCAGCATCAATTGTCAATTTTATTTACTTCCTTAATCCAGTACAATTGGTATTTCGTGCTCAACTGTAAGTTATTGGTACTAATCGTAAATCCCGGCGCGTTTTGATGCAGATATGGGCGGTTCGATATAACCACTTCCATGATCAACTGGTGCTCACGTCAGGCTCAGACTGTGCCGTGGTCCTCTCAAGTGTTGCATCCCTCTCCAGCGAAATGACCGACCGCTTAACCACACACGAAAGCATGGATAGCGTAGATAGCACGTATGTATTCTATCGGTATATGTAGGTCGTAAGCATAATCTAACGCGTCTTGCTCTTCTGTGAAATAACTGATAGCTTCATAACGCACAAGTGCATGTGTAGCGTCGATAGCTTGTGCATATGTTGATGCATTGTGCTCTGTGATGATATCACCACGTACGCGGGAATGGATACTGTAGATAGTGCCTGTGTAGTTGTCAGTGGATGCTGGTCGTTTGCATATGATGTTGCGTTGTGCATTCTGGCGATATGACTGACTCGTTGCTGGTTTACGAATGTATAGATTGCATGGATGACACGTATGTTTTTATTGGAATGTGATTAACGTGTCTTTCTCTCCAGCGAAATGACTGACACTTCATCACGTACGAGTTGATGGATACCTTTACTAATATACTTGCATTCATCAGCACACGCCTATCGTTTGCACATGGTTTTCAGTACATATAGCCTCGTCGTTGTTTATATCACTGTGTAGCAAATTGGGCACCTGCTTCACCACGCATGAGTGCTAGGATAACACGTATGTACCAATCAGTACAACAGAGTCAGTATACTTTGTTCTTGTTTCCTCGAATGCGTCAGCCTTCTTTAGAGATGGGTACTATCAACGTTTCCTGCCTGGCTAAATGTGCTACATCAATTTATGTTTTTCACTATATTTGAACAACCATCTCTTGTCGTGCTGAAGCTTCGCGCTCGGATAGATTGGAGTCGTCTATCAGGGCAACGATGCTGTTGCTTAGAGCAGGCAGATACAGATCACTTTTGGGACGATGCGCCTACAAACCCGATTGTACCCATCAAATAGCCACCCACATACAATATTAAAAGCTCATCTCAACCCCGCTGGATTTCTCATTCCTCCGCAACAGACATGACCAAATAGACCTGAGGCCGGAACCGCCGAGTGATAAGATAGTGGATGGGGTTGTACGCAAATTTGACGAGCACGAAGACAGTGTCTATGCCGTCGATTGGAGGTACGTGCGCTCATGTACTGTTACCCATTCTAACTATCAGTGGTGTGTATTGTATACATATACAGTGATGTGTATTGCATGCGACCTGTTGTCAAGGTCATGTGAATTGTATACGTACATTTCGCAGGTTTGCACTGTGGTGCCGGGCCGATGTTCGGTATCCCTTCGGGATGGCTGTAGTCATGTGTGTGGCGCTGCTAGCATATTTGTGCTACAGTACAGCAGTTTGTTCTACAGATGATAGCCTTAAACAACATGTCACCTACCCATGGACCACAGTGGATAGACACAAAAGCTTCGGATCGGAACTATTTATAACTATCTCACCTGCCACAACCAATTTTCTTGGCCTTTACTCTCACAATTCGTACTACACGGATTTTTTTTTTTACGCCGGTCTCAAAACGAAACTAAACCAGGTGGAGTACAAGATCCCCTTATTTAACTCTGGACCCAATTATTGTCGGACTATTAGTCCATAGTAACGTAGTCTAGGGCTACAAAGCATTACAGGGGATGGGCGGCCGGGGTGCAATTCGTGAATCTTATGTGCCTTTTCCCTATCTCGTGTGTTTTTATTCAGTGCGGCGGATCCTTGGCTGTTCGCTTCTCTGTCGCTCGATGGACGTGTGGTGGTCAACCATGTGCCGAGAGATACCAAGTACGGCATCCTCTTGTAAGAGCCTAGATATTTCGATGTCGTCACCACTTCTGCAAAGATCGCGGATGCTCTTGTTTGTGGAAAGTCTGCCTTGCTGATTCCGAGAGATGTGTAATATGCTTTGCCTCGTAACATGTCAAGGTAGATAACCTGATTCTATGGCCGTGTGTACCTCTAGATTGAGTAGGTCACAGCTTAACCAACGCGCAAGTTGAATCAAATAGGCTATGTCCCTGCTTCTTCTACGTGTCGCGGCGAGTGACTTGGTGTAGCAGAGATTCTAAACCCAAAAGGTTAGCTGAGAGGTATTTAAAGCACACAAGTTTGGCCTACGAGCGAATCAGCACAACCGCGGCAAACCACAGGGCATGTGGGCGTAGGGTATGCACTTACCATGCGGTAAAACAACCAAAGACAATGGCACCTCAGAGATGAGATATGCAGTTGCCAAGCAATTCTGCGCAGTAAGTAGCTTTTGGATATCGTTAAGTATTCTAGTGGAAGGTGTAGTGTATGTCGAATAGCTGTCCCAGCACTATGCATTGGAGATATTGAATAGCAATCTACATGCATGAAGTTGACAGCATAACCGGCTGGATGAGTCGAGAGAATCCAGTACTATTGTCCATTCTTCTGGAGTATTCAATAGTGGCAAACCCCTACCAAACGCACCACTTTCGTAAATCGGTCGTTGTATGCATTCAGCACATCGTCGATAGGCCCACTCCAGGTTCTATGGATACCGAACTTCGCGGCTACGCTCTTAACAGTGACAATTAATAGGAGTTGTAATGGGAAGGAGGCAGAGCACACACCGCCGCGAACGAGAAGTGCTTGGTAGAATTGCTTTCTCCTTTTAAGGCTCAGCTTCCTGCTGTACATGACCATACGTGGTATGTTCCCGTCTCCACTTACAACAGCCCAAACACAATCCCACAGTCACATTGTGGATGGTGGTGTAGGAGCTGCATCCGCCTTGACTTGCGACAATCCCTACACTGGACGCCACCTCCACTCCACGAACGGCCGTACAACGCCCTGGGATGGACTACAGCGTCATTTATGGGTCACGAAGACGCTTGGCTGCGCTTGGTATAACACGGTATTCCCCGTATTCCCCCTTTTCTACCTGACAAGGCCCTTGCGGTCGTCATTTGCAATCAGGGTCTTTAATGCTCGATGCTTTTGTCTTGCAAGGACCAAATAAACGATACTACTTGTCAAGGTCTGAATATATATTGCAAACGCATCTTGGGAACTTGGCATTTACCTGTCACAGTGGACGTACACCTTACTCGCCCCAGTGATCTGGGTGACAGATCACAGCGCAGATTGCCATGAATGTGTGCGTGAGGAGACGTAGCGAACTACTATTTCTCCACTAGCTAGTGTAACATGAGGAGAAAAGCTTACTAAAATATTCATAAATAGGGGTTTTCATTGTCGTCCTCCCATGACCGCGAGCCCATTTGGCAAGTTTATTTGTAATGAAGAGTATATCAATCTACGAGGCTGGTAAACTTTCGAGATATTGCAATACTCGGCGTATGGGGCCATGGTTCAGCATTGCTACCGCTCGCATGATGCCGATGAACGAGTAGAGTATATATCTGTATCAGCTGAGGCCACCTCAATATACAAATGCGCAAAAGCCTGACAGACGAAAAAACGCGGTACATATATTCGACTGTAGCGGGCAATGCCAGTACTTCGCCTTTGTTTACTTTCCGAACAGTGACATCATGTTTATAAATATCGCACTCGTTGAAGCACATATCGCACTCATTTCCCCCTCTTTCGCTTGCCTCGATTGGGGCCACCACTGTGGGCGCCGTGTTTCTTGCCATTGGTATTGGCCGAGAAATCAAATAGTGTATTGATCTTCCGCTTGACCCCGTCCGTGCTATCACCCTTGGCACTATTTCGACCTCTCCCGTTACCATCTATCGCGCTTTTGGCACAGCCTTCGTCCCTGGCCTGCCCACTCCCACCCATTCCGATACACTTATCCAGATGCCCATGCATATCACTATTAAGCATGCCTATGAACGAATGTCCACATATGGGACAGCGAGCCTCTGCGGGTCCCTTGGCATTATCCACATCCTCCACTAAGTATGCGTCCATGCTCACCTCCGTTGTGTTGCGTGGCTCAGAAAACCCCGTCACACCCACCCCAAGGAGTGTCAGCGTATCGGGTTCGTATGTGTTTAAGGAAAACCTCATCATCAGTGACATAGCCTCACGCAGCACCACAAAGCGCAGATGTTCGCACTGCTTCCTGAGATCGTTCTCCTCGTTTTCCTTCTTTTTCCTGCTAATGCCAACCCTCAAACCTTTCTCATCGATGTCGTTCAATGTCGTGTCGGTAGCAGCAGGCACAGATATATGAGGGGTGGGACTGATATCACTACCAGCCTGTACAGGTGACTCATCCTGAGCCGCCGTATCTGTATTCTTATCGCCAGTGGCAGAGACAATTTCGGCGATCTTCAGCATTCGTTGTAGCGATCCGAAGTCACTGTATGGCAGCGGTGTCTGGCGGGACTGGTATGTGTTGTTCGCCTTGTTGCCCTCATCCAGCCCCGAGTTCCTGAACCGCACATACAGAGTGCTGGGTAGACGCTTGTTCATGGCGATATCTCGCCACACTCTTCTCAGCAAATTGTCCACCAGAGTGAGCATCTTGGCGCGCACCTCCAGCTTCGTCGTGAACGTGTTTTTCTGCATCGAATCCTCTGCGCTGATAACAGTGCACAGCCCACTCTCCTTCACGGGATCCAAGCAGGTGCCCAGGCACTTCAAAGCAATGGTTTTGGCCACATCGTACTTGGCGTGCATGACCGCTGCCATCTGCACAAAGTCCAAGGACGCAATCACATCCTTGGTCGACATTGAGGCGCTAAGGGAGTCCTCAACAGTCATAGATATGGGTTTGATACCTGAAAGTTTCGCAACGAGATGTGTATCCCCTCCACCATCAACACTCGGTTCAGGGTTCTCCGGTAGCGCCCGAGAGGGAGCACCTCTTTCATGTATATTTCCATCTATATCCGAGTTCAAAACACCGGCGTAGGCCTCAGGTTTCAGGAAGGCATCCAGCACTTGGAAACACTTCGGAAGACTGCTCTTCTTCGTAGAGATCACACGGTCTAGTTGTCTCTTCCGCTGACGCTCGGTCGCATTGGGCTTAACCTTCCTTCCACTGTCATTAGAATCATGTGCATATGTGTTTTCAGGCGACGTATCACTAGTAGGCGGAACGCAATCATGATTTTGGGCATGGCCATCATCACCATAGTCGTCATCGCCATCGCCCTCGCTATCACTTCCACTTCCCTCGTATTCGGGATCAGATATCAGCTCCTGCTCATCTTCGTCCCCGTGCCGAAATCCTAGCGAATACAGGTGCACGCGGATCTTGTTGGTGTATCGAGAGCCACAGCCGGGTATAATCTTCACACACTTGTCGGCCATGTACGCCCGTGCTTTCTCAGGCACAAACACAGACGATCCATGCGGTTTCTGATGGTTCACGGCTATCTTGGTACCCAACTTAGACGTGCTCACGCCCACACTGCACGTCAGGTCTGTGTGCCTCAACACGGCTGCCTGGATTTCCTTGGCCACACACAGACCCACGCGCAGGTGCAAGGAAACTTGCCGGGCCTCGCCCAGGACTACGTTGATATCTCCATCCTGTAGAGCGCAGGCTTGAGTGTATAGCACGTGGGTGGGTGTCTGCATGATGTTGTTCACCAGCCCGGTCACATCACAGAACCACTCGTCCATGCCACTCTTCTGCACCGGTGTCTTCACACTCGCATACTTCTTCACATTTAATTTTCCTTCCCGTTTACCCTTCTGGGTCCCACTCATTGTATCGATATTTTTATATTTCGCATTGATGCATCCACGGGTCATATAAAGTGCTTTTTTCAGCTGTGCCCGCTGTTCCTCGCGCCATCCCTGACCCTTTTGGGCTTGTTTTCTCTTCCCATCTGGCGTTGTTTTGGCTTTCCTGTCGACTACAACTTGCTGGTTCTCTTTTTCCATCGCATCCAATTTTTGGTCATTACTTAGGCTTGTAGCCGTTATACTCGCTCCCAAATTTCCAGGTAGCTCTCCTCGCAATGGACCATCCCCTTTACCTTCAGTCATAGACTCTGACACCAATTGCTTCAGCAGACTCTTCACTGTTGTTTCCACGGCCTCACTTTTCTCGCGATACCGGGTCAAATCAGACCCGTCTATAACCACCAATTCAGGACAGCATATCATCGCATCTGATAGCAGTTGCAGCTTGGTCACGCCGTGTGCGCGTGCTGAGTAGTTGGCTGTGACGATTATGTGCTTCTGCTTGACACCGATGGGCCTTGCCTTGTTCGCTTTACATACAATACCATCTCCGTTGATTGAAGAGATATGGGATTTGTTCGCACTTGTTGGTAGAATAGAAGCATTGTATATTGGGCTTGTGGATGCCACTGTAGACTCTGTTGTATTAGGGACATGCGTGTTGATCTTTTTCTTTTCGTGATCTTCCTCCTGACGTAGCTCGACCTCATGCACTTGCGCATAGAAGTAGTCAAGATCCAGAGCGACGATCACACGCATATTAGTTTTTACTATACCCACCCATCGCACACCTACGAAGAGTCAATAAAGCATGGTGCCCAAAGGATATCCCCAATTTGTACTTAAAATATGTAAATAGTAGCTGTAGTCGACAATCGTGCCAATATCATGAAATATTTTTTTAAGATTTGAGATTTAGTTTAATAAAGCGGTAACAGTTCGGTACGGATTTGATCGTGAATGCGATTGTATTTACACATATATTTAAAAAAGCAGCGGCAATATTTGGTGTTGTTTTAGTTCGCCGCAAGGGATCGCCAGCAGTATTGTAAATATTCCAATATTACAGATCACTGGTTATATAATGTATTAAAACGTGCATGGACCCGTCGTTCAAAGCTTTATAGGAGCTACAGATACGGATAAACACACATGTGCAGTTATTGCTCTAGCTTCTGGTGTCTCCACTCGCCTACACCCAGGTGATATGTCAGTACACCAACCGATCCAGACACAACTCACAGACGGGCCATAACACGCAATATAAAGCCGCATACAGTAGCATATGTATAGATCCACGAAGTAGAAGTATACAGTTGTACATGTATAGAACTCGATATAGGATAATACGGTCATACATGTCTGAATACGAATAATTGTGAGCACTTCGCTTCAGTTAGCTTCTTAAGCTTCTGACTTCACACGATGAGTGACGAGTTCGCCTGGAGAGCCACACGGTTGGGAGTGGCACAGATATGCGAAGCAGCTGGCTTTGAGCAGACGAGTAGCGCGGCTTTCGATGTCCTATCAGAGATATATATATCGTTCGTGAAAAAGCTTGGAAAACGATGTAGGGTCCGCACTGAAGATGGTATGTTATATATACATATTCATATATATATATATATATATATATGCATTACAAATAACAAACATATGTATGAATGTGTGTGTTTGTTGTTTTGTTATATATATATATATATATATTTATTTATTTATTTATTA